CTACTACTACTACTACTGCTACTACTACTACTACTTCCTTTTTCCAAAAAAACCAAAGGAAAATGTTAGTTTCTAAATGGCGGGAGCTTTCCCGACTTCTGAAGTGTCTTTTAACGACTTTCATGTTCTTCAAAATTCAAGGTTTTCCCTTCTTAAAAAAGGTCAGGTAAATTTTCCTCATTCTTATTACAGTAAATAGGTCTTATATGTGTATACATACATAAAAAAAAATCAGTAGTTGCATACGTATTCTTTTATCCATAAATCGATAAATCTCAACAAGAAAGGGGGTCACGGGGATCTCCCCCGGGAAATTTTTGATTCCTAGATGGCGAAAAATGAGCTTTCCCGACATCTCTGAGGTGTCTTTTATTGACTTTTAAATTCTTCAAAATTCAATGTTCCCCTCTTGAAAACGATTCCATGAATCAATGAACCCCAAAGAGAAAGGGGTTCGGGTTCTCCCCTGGAAAATGTTGATTTCTAAATGGCGAAAAATGAGCTTTTCTTGCTTCTGAAGTGCCTTTTAATGACTTTTAAGTTCTTCATCAAAATTCAAGGTTTTTCCCTTTTGAAAACGGTCAACTAAATTGTTCTTATCCTTGTTACAGTAAATAGGCCTTATATGTGTATACATACATGAAAACAAATTCAGTAGTTGCATACGTATTCTTTTTTCTTCTTCTTCTTTTTACAAATAAACTTGACTGTCTCAGCTGTTTTCTGTTGACAAGCTTCTGATAAAAACGGCGGGTCTGCCACAACAATATCAAATGCACTTTCGAAATCGGCAGCAATTTCCAATGGCTTGTTGTAGTCATAAAATATGTAGTCATCACCGTACGTCGAAAAACGTTCATCAAATTCAAACAACTTGACAGTACAACTGGCTGTTTTGGAATCTGGGAGGCTTCGCAACTTTTTGAAGAGTGTCGGAGTACACAAGCAAGCAATTCTGCAAAAAAAACCAGCATGTTTTACAAAGGAGGTACAGCATATAATAATTATTTTATACCCCCTTGGTTTTACACAATAGTAATGTTTTGGAAAAACCAAAAACTGTACCATGGCGCTTATGACATTTTTGGAGGCTTTAATGCGGCACTTATTCAAGAGTGGCACTTATAAACAAAATATTGGTGTGGAACTTTTAATTCCGTTCCCATGTTACCTATCTCATGTATTCCTGTAGGCCTATCAAAGGTCCTACGTCATCGTAAATAAAGGTTAAAAACGAAATCCTTGTGTCTTCATTGTGTTATTTATTTTATTTTGACACTGTATACATTGTATTTAAAACCGTTTTTCAAAGTGTTTCATTACACACAGGGTAATTATGCTCTTGATTTAGCTATAAAAAACACAATCTTTATTTACAAATCCCTGGAAATGGAAGGCCAGTATTATCAGCCCCACAACTGCCTCTGTTCATGTTCTTTTTTTTCTTAATATTAAAAGAGCTTCCCAAAAACTGTCCCAATGATTAACTACAATATTAACAATTTCAACTCACTTGCCATTCACGCCAGCAGCGTCAAGAACTTCGCTCGCAAGCGCTCCTGCCGTTTGATCATCATACCAGAACTGTGACAATTGCTATTGGAAAAAAACAATGGATGGACAAATTAGAATCAACCAATTCCATCATCAGATGTATATATTATACAATACAATTAATATAAGTACCAAATTACATTATGTTTTATGTTCTACTATCCTTTCTTGAACAAAGGAAGTTGAGGAGACTCTGATAATTCTGTAAAAATTACCGGTATGTACAAAGAGCTGTAAAAATAATTAAGATAAAATTGTGAAAGATTGATGTATATCATTATTTCCGGCTAACCATAGCCTCTAGTTTAGGCCCAACCTCGCCATAGCCTGCTGCTGGACCGCTATTTCAGGCTAACCATAGCCTCTAGTTTAGGCCCAACCTCGCCATAGCCTGCTGCTGGACCGCTATTTCCGGCTAACCATAGACTCTAGGAGTGCCACACCTAGGCCTAATCTAGAATTAAAATTAAACTGAACATTGATTAATTGATTGATAAGTTGACAAATAGATTACTATATATAGATTAAAATAGGACAAGGTCAATGCAAAAAATCGTAAAAAAAAAAAAAAAAAAAAACAACCGTCAACCCTACACCCCACACATATCCACATGACCGCGGCGATTCTTCTGTCTGAGTAAAATAGTATAAAAAAGTTCAAATCGATTAAAATGTGCACAAGCTACCCCTGACCAGTTTGCAATTTGTCCGTGCATTCTGAAACTTCTTGCACAGTTTCTTCTTGCTGTGCCAAAAATAGAAAAGTTACATGAATGAAATTCTCTTATGTCATAGGCCAAGTACAGTATATTAGGAATCGACAACAAAAATTAAAATTTACGAATTTTTTTTTCTATTTTTATTCAATTTTTAAAGTCATTTTTGTGTTATCTCTTCGGATGTTACCAAGTGTGAATGCCCTAGGCCAAAAAAGTGAAAGCTTTATACACAATGCTACCACGTTTGCCTGTGGCCCGATGGACACTGACGGCAACATAGTGCAGCAATCGGCCTACTGTATGAGTTAGAAAGAAAGAAAAACACATTTTCATGATATATGCAATCTATTCGACTGTCTTAATATTACTTTTAAGCAACTATAATTCGCTTGTCAATTGATGGTTCCTGCCCAAGAAATAAACGTAAACTTTGAAGGCTGATTTCTCAAATATTGTTCTTTACACAGCTGTATGTTTAAACTCCTGTAAAAGTTGGATTTAAATGATTATTTTACCATTTTATATATGTAGGCCTACTGTAGCTCTCATTTTACTGTTTAACCTTGTATTAATTTATAAAAATTGATTTTTATGACAAGTGACTAGTTTGGCTTGACTATGCCACATATGTAACTATGACATGTGAATTTCATTCATATAGCTTTTGTATTTTTGGCACAACAAAAAAAAAGTATCCTGACTTCCCATGCACTTTTCATACAGGCCTACCTCAAGGATTTTTTGCTTCCAGGGTTGGGCACCGCCAGCGTTTTAGATAGGCCAATGTAAAAAATAGGTGTATTCGACTGGTCCTTTTCCGAGGAGTGATTTACTTGGAGTGTGCTCGTTAAAAAAACAGCAAGGAGTTTGAGCTGCTCTTGTGAGGAGTTCGTGCTGCTCGTGCGACCAGCCGAATATGACATGTGCAGTTTGAGTAGGCCTACTAGAAAGAGCTGCTCAAAACAGAGCAGTCGAATACGCCTATTGACTGTGGTCTAGAATGGCATAAGCCTAGCTAGTAGGCTAGTAGAACAGCAGTATAGTAGGCCTACTGTAGGAGTACTACTACTACTAGCTAGGCCTATATGTGGCTATGCATCGTAGATCTAGGCCAGGCCTAGCCTAGGCTAGGTCGAGCTTAGGTTAGGGCCTAGGCTTGGCAGGATTCATTATTCGTAGACGTAGGCCTAGGCCCTAGTACAGTTGGCAAAAGTCGAGCATGAAATGTAAACAGAAAACTAACCCAATCTTCCTGGATATCTATTTCACGTAGTTCATTTTGTTCTTGGTAAAATTCTTGTAAAGCTGCTAGTTGGTTTGTACGCAAGCTTGTCTTTGAGTCGGGTTAACTCACTATAATCTAAACAAATATAATCTGCTATAAAAAAAAAAACTCCAAATATTAAGTTCTGGCTATATCTGCAAAAGCCTGGGAAGATTTTTAAATTTAGTAGACTCAAAATCGAGGTGGTTTGAGGCTTTACTTTACAGAATATAGCACTATTACGGTAGCTA